GTAACTGTTGCGAACACTCACCCACATAGTATCACACTTTGTCACACACATATGCTCCCAACATACTGAAAAGGAAATAGAACTTGCAATTGCAGGCAATGTAGGCCATAAAACAACATTGATGAAGTCAATAGAGGAACTTGTCAATTCTTGCTTTCTCACGAAGTGCAGGATAGGTCCAAAGAAATTTATGCTCATGTCATACTCTCTTTTACATGTATCCACTTTTCCAGTGTATCAATTCTCACTCCCGCATCAATGTTCTCTCCTACTTCCTGTGATTGTTTCCTGAAATTCTCCAATATCCTCTGTAGGGTGTATACAAAAGGGGCAAGACTGTGATAAGTGCTCCTTCTACGTAATGCGGCCTCTCAGTGTGCATTATGGCTACGCCAAGGACAAACGTCAACGTGACGGTAGACTACTTGCACTACAATTGTTGACGTCAACCAACTCGCTCAATCGCTTTCGAATGACAGTAAGTACGGCTTCGCAGAGCTTTTTTTTACCACTAGTACATCGTGCTTCTTTTCTCATACTACACTCACCCTAATTGCTCATTTACATCCACCCCACCGTCGAAGACAGGGTACTAGCAACAGGGAGAGGGAGACTTTGTTGACGTCAACTGTACAGAGCGCACAAGTCTCTCTACTCTGCTCACTCTGATACACGGTTGTGGCGGTGTCTTCTTCCTACTCGTACTCAGACCATACGTGAATGAACCTCTTTCACTTAACCATGGCAAAGTTGAAAACACGGGATGACAGTTGGCGCGAGACACATGCACTAGGCAAGTGACACCGAGCGACAAAAGGTCAGCATATTCTCTCTCGGGCCTCTCTGGAGAGATTAGACCTCTCTCTCTCTCTTCGATTGTGACCGCGTCCCCTACCCGTAACCGCCTAGCGGTCTTGGTCCCTCTGCTCTCGCGAGGTAGCCTCCTGGCCATCTTCCACCGACTCGGTCGGCGGGTGGTCCCGCTGTATTGAGCCCATCCGTGCCAGGATTGGGTTTCCGCGTCACTGGCTTCAGACTCAGGCTCAAAGTCCTGGTCCAACTGTGTTTGTTCCCGCTTAGTACTTACTGTTGAAGTCTCTTCCTCGTGGAACGTTATTGTGACCTACAACATAGCCGTTCAGCCTGGTTTCGGGCCTCAGTAACTGTGCCCTGCTCTGCGTCTTCTCTCATTTCTTGCTCCTTACTTCCGTAGACGTTAACGTTCAGCTTTACCACATGGTCGTACTTGTCGTAGTTTAGATAGGCATCCACTACAATGCCCTCTTCCCGCTTTGGCTCCCAACTCTGGTAGAATTTTAACAGCCTCGACCTATAGCCATGAAGGCCATTGCGATGCGCCTTTGCCAAGCTTTTGGAGAAAGCTCCTTATCATGCCGCATAGCACCACGAAGACCACTAAATTGCGAATGGACCACTCGTGCTACCAGTAAACGCAGTGCACGAGCGAGGTATCATCAAGCCGCTGGCTTCCGATAGTAGTTGCGGCCTATGTAACCTGCCTCTCCACCGTTATCTAAACTCTCAGGTAGTGAGGAAGTATAAACTACCATTAGAGGGGGAAACTGTCAATGAGTTCATCCAGTGCTGGCTTTGTTAGGCGTCAGTACCTCAGCCACCCTCGCATTCTTTCTGCACTCTTCCGTTCCCCGGTTGCCGCATCCCACAGGTTCCCCACCCTCCAGGCCCCATGTTCACCCAGCCCCTCCATAGGGGGTGCAGGTTGCACCTCATTCAGCCGAGGGAGTCCGTGATTAGTCTATTGCCAAACAGGGGTTGCTTGAACACTTCCTCCCACCTCTCCGGCGTCGGTCCGTCGGGGGTTGGGAGTTTCCTCCACGTTCACAGGAGACGCAACCAATGCTCATTCATTGGGCCCCAATGTCTGTATCTCCTTGGTATCCTCCAATACCTGTCCCGGAGCCATACTAGAGGATCAATCTCTGGTGGAGCCTCCGGGGCCAGGGTCGCGAGCTATGCCAGAGCAAGGGGGACCCAAGGGGAGGATGGTGAAAACAATAGATGTTGACGCCAGCGTAAACCAAGGGCTTAAAAATCATGGAAGGGTCAGCGATCCCCATCCCACCTCTGACCTTGGGTTGGATCACTGATTCCCATGCTACTCGGTTGATGGCATGGGGGCTGCCACTGTCCCCTCTCCATAGGAAAGTCGCTAACTGCCACGTTAGCGCCTTGAGCCCCCCATTGCTCATAGTCCATAAAATGGCTTTGTACTAGAGTGTGACCAACACCACATTATTGATAACTAAGACTCGCCCAAAAATTGATGTGTTTGTTGTTCCATCCCGCCTGTTTGGCTTGCGCCGACGCAGCCAGTCATTCGTCGTTAGTATTGGGTTTGCCCTTGGCTGTAACCTATGCCCCCAGGATCCTGAGAGGGTCGTTCGGGGGACGCCAAGTAATTTGTGGGTTTTCAAGGGGTCTTCTCCCCTGATGATGCAGCCATTAGCCCATTGTCTTCTATCCCCAGTTCACAGCCACGTCCGACATCGTGCAAAAGAGGGTCATAAGGGTCTAAATTTCTTCCATGTTCTGTGCATTTGCCTCCACCATAATGGTGAGGTAGTCCACAAATAGGGAGCACGACCTCCTCCAAGATGTCAGCGACCTGGATCCGTGTAAGATCCTTGTTGAGTCTCAAGTTAGCAGATAGTACCTCCATTATGACCAGGAAAAGGTAAGGGTCAATAGGGTCCCCTTCCCTGACCGACCACTGAAGCTCAAACGGAGAGCCCACTGATTCATGAACCTGCACACAAGTAGTAACATTAATGTGTAGAAATTTTCACTCAGCGCCTGAAGGCAAGTCCAAAGTTCAACCTTTTTAAAGTCGATGAAAATAATGGCAGCATTTGTCCGGTTTCTTCGCACCAGACTAACCACTTCATTCACCAACAGGATGTTCTCATGTACGTTCCTACCGGCCATGAACGCCATTTGGGTTAGGTGTATTATGTCCTCTAGAACTTCCACCATACGGTTCGTCAAAGCTTTCCAGAGCATTTTGTAGACTACAGTGAAAAAAGTGATAAGTTTGTAGTTTCTAATGTTCATCTTATCCATTCTTTTGTATAGTAACAACAACACCGCCTTCCCCACCACTTCCCCCATTTCCCCGACTTCCCATACCCTCTGGTAGTAGTCCCACGAGTCCGTATTCAAGTTCATCCACATACATTCTTGAAACTCCTTGGGTAAGCGGTCAATACCGGGTGTTTTCCCTTCCTTCATTTGGAGGAGTGTTGTCCAAACCTCCTCTTTCGTCAGTGGCCTCTCCAAATGTTCACGTTATTGCGGGGACAGGTGCCTATCAATAGGGGATAAAAAGTCATTCAGGTCCCTTGCCCATGCCTCCCCTCGAGCGTTGTCCACATGTTCCCTTTCATCAGCGTGCAGTGTGCGGTGTCCGTTGAGTTTGAGTCATAGAATGCCTCGATCACTGTCCGCTGTGCGCGGGCCGTTGCTATACTGAAAAATTGAGTGTCGATCGTAGCTTCCTGGGTGAGCTTGACCATTTTCCCACGGATCCTAATTCCTTGCCACCTATGCAAGTCAAACTGAAGAAGCTTGTCCTTTACTCTCTGGATAGATGAAGTGAGGTGTTGTGAATCTACATGCTGTTCCAGGACCATCCGGAATATCCGACCGGAAATTCCACCCCGGACGAACTTGGAAATAAACATTTTGGGGTCTGCCCAAAATAGGCGCAGGGCTTCTTCTTGGGTTGTAGGGGTGCCAAGGGGTTTTGATCAACCCCTGGCAACACCTCACGATGGCGGATCCTAAGTAAGACCCACAGATTTCGAAAAACAAAAGGCTCGATCTGGGCCGTCGGTCCACCAAGATCGATGGTCCAGATCGGGCCAATTTTGAATTCGAAATCGCACAGCCTGCTGCCCCGCCTCCCCGCTGCTCGCTGCCCCGCTGCCCCGTTGTTCCGCTGCTGCAGACATAGCCGCCTCCACTGGAGCCATCGCTGAGAGCTGCTACTCTACCCATCGCTAAGGTGAGCCTCTTCCTACTCTTCCTACTCTTCCTCCTCCTCCTTCCCTCCTCCTCCTCCTCCGCATCTTTCACCTCCTCCTCCTCCTCCTCGTCTTCCACCTCAGTCCTCTTCCTCCTCCTCCTCCTCCTTCTCCTCCTCCTCCTC